CTTCTCACTGACTTCCATCTGAAGAGATAGGTCTTCTCCCTTCATTCCTTTCTTCTGCTGATATTGGTTCTGTGATTGAATGCTTTAATTCATCCACCAGACAATGTGTCCACTCCTCTGCTTCACCTAATTTATACTATCTACTCTTTGATAGCCTGTGTTATAGTTTTCGGCTCTATATTATGCTTTTACATGAGAGTAGCTCTACAAAATGATTTTGTCCTGGGTAGTCCTTTTCTTGCCTAAATCTGGGTGTTTCCTGGAAACTTATAGCCTGGAGGATGAAATGAGAAGTCTATTTCAAGGCTTTTGCAGTACATTGCCTGTTCTTATAGCAAGTCAAAGGCCACCAGATAATAAATGAAGTGAATTGAACAGACTAAGAAGCTGTAGTCCTCAAAATCATATTTACTGCAGACCAAAACCCAGCACTGTGATTACTGAAGTTTTACGTTTGTAGATGACAGTTTCAGTTTAGCCCCTGTGAAATGCACCACTAAAACCACGCTAATCCCTCTGAGATTATCAACCACTTCAGTATCTCGGCCCATTTAGCAGATCTGACTATTAAACTGTAAATGCACTTTAAGCAGGGTTTTCTCACAGCCTCTGTGCACTGACATCTCCCCTCTGTGGTGCAGCTGGGAGGAGGCACAGCTCATTTGTACCTTTCTGAGCATTTGCTCTCCCCCAAACTGAGATGATCTGAACAAGTTGGCTAAATTGAACCCCTCAGGGGGCTGGTCTAGTGGCCTTCTGCCTGGGTTCAGGCTGACCTGTGCCCTCTGAGGCTGTTCTAAACTGCTTTAAATATGCTTTTGAGGGCTTTGGGTCTTCAACTGCATTTATGTTCATGTGTGCAGGGAGCTGGGACTGTCAACCACGGAGGCTTAGCCTGTAATGCTGCATTGACCTTGTTACAGCATCTTTTCTTACTGCAAAGCTGCCAGTGCACATTGCTCGCTGTCAGACATGGGCCCATCGAAGCAAACCCCCGTTTCTGAGAGCTCCTGTGTGGCTTATTGCCAGCTCTTGTTTCCCCATGGAAGGGGATGGTGGATCTCGGGGGTCATACTGCTGTAATTGGTTGGACTGTATTGGAGCAGTGGGGGGAGATATCAGAGGGATCTCTGCTTGTCTTTGCTGAAGCATCATTCCAGGGACAAAAAAATCCCAACAGAACAAACTAGCTTTGGGGTACTTAGCATGCTTTTTTCCAGCTGAGGGGCTTCAGTTGGTTATTTTAAGCTGGGCAACAAGTGTCGTTGGACCTGGGAGACTAAGGACCAACAAAAGCTCCTGTAGCACATTGAAAAACACCCTTCCAGCAGTATTTTCACTAAAGGGGCTGGTGGCTTTTCTCCTTTTTTTCCCTTTATTTTTTTGTTACTGTTTGTGCAAAGGCAGGGCTTTGATTTCTCCATTTAAATACTTGAATTTGCTTGTCAGCAGCTAGAGTTGACTCAGAAAGGATTCTTCTTGTGGGTTTTTTAAGCAGTCTCAGAGTCCAGAGGTCTGCAGCATCCTGAGCAGTCTGTGCTTCTGGGATCTTTGCTGCACTAAGCTCAAAGGCCGCATCTCTTCTTTTCACTACAGTCTTTCCATTGTGCATTTCTGTACTGCCCTGCTCTGGTGGGAGTAATGTGGTCTGGGGTTGGATTCCCTCATCTCCAGCTTCTGAACAATGACCTGTGCTACTTTTCCTACCACTGCTAAAGGAGAAGCCTTTCAGTAGCTGTTTGTAGCTGCCTCTGCTTTCTCTTTCCAGGCTTGCAAAGTGGGAGGTGTAGTCCTCAAACCAGCACCAGATACATGTCTCCTTCTTCTTCACATTGCATCTAGCTGCAAACTCAACACAGTGAGAGACTCCAGCATTATCTGAATTACAAAGTCATCCTATTGTCAAGCCTTTTAAGTGTCAAGTTGTCTTCAAAGCAAAGGCTGTGACATTCACTGAAGAACAGCATCATTTCAAAGTCAGGAGGGTCTATTCTTAGCACATCAGTCAAAAAAGGAAAGAAAAGTCTTTGGGGAAAAAAAAAACCATCAATTTCACTAAAGTGAACCTTGTCAGAATGATCAATTCCTCTTCCATCTGGCTTGACCTGGTCCTTGCTGCATGCCAGAGGACAGAATTTGATGACACAGCACAATAAAAGAAGATTGCCAGATCTCCTTGTAATTAATTCTCTTGCAGTGCAGGTTTGGCACAGAACAATTTCTCTCCCAAGTGATAAGATCACTGGTAGCTCGGTTTGGTTTTTCCTTTTTAAGGAACATTGCTCCTCAGTTAGTTGAAGAATTGATGCTGCTATGTAATAGCTACCTCCTGGTATTTTATTCTCGCTGTTTAAAAACCTCTTCCTGCTAGACCCCAACAGTTAAGAGAACATCATAACCCAGAGGGACATCGGGGCTGTACTGCCTTCTCCTGCTTTTCTGCACCCCCTCAGATCCCCCATGCACTGGAGAGCCCAGCTACACCTCCATCTTCATGTCACATCCAGCCAGTGTGACTCTTGTACAGTGCTTTACCCTGTATGACTTCTCACTGGAAGACTTTAATCTGAGTTCATAACAAATAAATAAGCGTGGTCTATAACCTGACCTTGAAACCTACTTGTACCTCATGGAAGTTATTATTCTTGAACTAAATAGACTGTCTTGTGAAGTGTTTATACTAAAACATACCTTACAAATGATTTAAGAGAGAAACATAATTCATTTAGCACACTAGAATCTAAGTAAAGACACCTGTGCTGTTTCTTCAAAGCTGCTCCTTCTAAACTCTGCTTATAAGGAGCTTCTGCTGGTGGGCTCTTTGTATTCAGGGACTGAGAGTCTGCAAAGAGCTTTTTCCAACCTTCCTGAAAAAGCCATGCAGATGCCTTTGCATCTTTATTTAGATGGGGAGCAAAGTCTTAACTATCACTAAAACTTTCCTATTTTTGAAGAAGGGATTGAATTCCCTGGAGGATGATGCTGGAAGGAGCATGTTATCAGAGCGCACATCTCTGTGTGCATCCTGACTGTCTCCAGAGAGACCATCATTAACGTGCTGCTGTCTCTGTCTTTCTCTTCAGTATTCAGGCAGTGATGATCATGTGAAAATTACTCACACTTCTGACTTGAGAAAACTTTCTTAGCCCAGAAATTAATCCAGTATCAAGGGAATTAGAAATTCAAATGGGGGGAAATTATACACTCTGTATGTCAATACAGCAACCCTTCTAAAAGCTGCAATCAGTCATATCGGCATCAAAGGTGCTGGTACATTTCCTTGTCCAACAGATAAAGGAGAAGGTGAATTGGAACAAGAAACTTTGCTGTGCTGCCTCATCCGAAAGCACAGACCCGGAGCTGGTGCTGGAGCTTCTCTGTGTTGCGATCCATGGCTATGCACAAACCTGTTTGTTAATCTTGCCTGTGTTTAGCTGCTGCCCAGGCTACACTGCAAGGCAGGTTCTGTCTCTGTGACTATGTGCTGTTTCAGCACAAGTGCTTTCTCTCGAAGTCTTCAGTCATTTAAATGGGCTGGTGCACTACCCCCTTAACAAACCTCTGTGGGAGTACTCCCGTCCTTCCTGTGCATTGACACCCAGCATGCTCCTGTTGCAAGTTAAATCCAGCTACCTTATGCCTGCGTGCAGCCTCACATTAGGCAACTCACCCTGCAGATCATTTAAATTCATTAAATGAATGTAATGATCCGTACTGGTTTCCCACTGTCCGGCTGCTGACTGAACAGTGGGTGGTACAGAGTGGATTTCCATTATGATAACTTTAGACTTCACCATCTATATTATGGTGTATGACTAACCAGATAAACAACTCTCCCTCAAAAACACCTCCCCAGATTCCTGCAGTTTGATGTGTCACACGTAAGGGGCCAAACCTAACGCAGGTATGTGTAAAACCCAGCAGTGACTTACGGAGGCTTCAGCTCGTTCCTGCATCATTCTGTCTCTCTGCCACTCTCCTTATGTGTTTTGACTGCCAAATGTTGTGGTTTTGTAGGTCTTGTATCTCAGCTCTCTGCTGTCAGCTCCCTGAGATGCAGGGAGTAGGCACGGCCCAGATGCTTGCCTGAAGCAGAAATAGCACATCTTTCTACTACTATCCTCCATCAGCTCCCCTGAGTCTGGAATTCCTGGCAGGCAGCATTCCAGGGGGAGAATAAAAACCCCAGACCTTTAGTTTGCAGTTGTTGTAAAAACCTGGTTCTGGTTGTGGTGTAATTCAGCTGACTGAAGTAGAGGTACAATGAATCTGCTATACTTAGTGAATCAGTGAGCTTATAGTGGTAAAAACTGCCCAGGTTTCTGGCTGTTCAGTACTCCCCTCACGTTACCAGGGGCTTTTGTGTATTCCCAGCGTTTGGTTTGTGTTACAGTCTGCAGCTTTGAGGGGGGTATGTATGCTGATAAGTGTATGCTTGTGGATGGATGTTTTCAAAACTCCAGAGAGACAACAGGAACCAAGCAGCCAGAAAGATAAACAGCTCCTGTGATGATTGAAGGGTACATGGGTATATGTGTGTATTTATTTCAGACTGGTTTGTAGCAAAGGTGAGCAATAAAAAACCCATTGATTCTCATGTTCAAAATGCACCAGTGAGCTAGCTTGGATCTGCATGGGTGCCATAGGGTCATAGAATTGTTTGGGTTGGAAGGGACCTTAAAGCTCCTCCAGCTCCAACCCCTGCCATGGGTAGGGACCCCTTCCTCTGGAGCAGCTTGCTCCAAGCCCCTGTGTCCAACCTGGCCTTGAACACTGCCAGGGATGGGGCAGCCACAGCTTCTCTGGGCACCCTGTGCCAGCGCCTCAGCACCCTCGCAGTGGACCGTAGGCAGTTATAACACGTGAAGTTGAGCGGGTGGATGGCGCATGCAGGCTGCTCTCTGCAGTGCTCTCTATTGTCCCTGGTGTGTCACAGGCCCCATGGTGACAGCAGGGGCTGAGCTGTCCTGAGCTTCGGTGGTTGGGGGGGGGTCTCTTACCTTCTGTGCTCTCCGCTTGTCGGCTCTCTGGTTCTGGTGGTAAATTCGGCTGAAGTTGGAAACAATGACTGGAACCGGCAGAGCAATGACCAGCACCCCGCTCAGCGAGCAAATGGAGCCAAATATCTTCCCAGCAATTGTCTTGGGCACCATGTCACCATAACTAGAGAGGGGAAAAGAAAAGAGGGAAGCCCCTCCTTCAGACAAGTGCAATGGCACCAAAAGCCTTTCATCGTTCCCTGAGTGTGCAGCAACAGGAGCATCCAGGTTAGACACCTGGAAATCCACCACGCAGGCAACAGTTCACATGGTGCTGTCATCCTGGAGATGACAGCTCGCACCCTGCTTTGGCCATGAATTAACCTAAACCAAAGCAAGGCACTCGGGTTGCAGAAGAGCCATGCCAGCTCAGGCAGCTGCTGGGTACAGGGAACTCATGTTCTCGCTCATGTAGTACCTACCTCTCTCTGTAGATGAGTGCTAACAAACTGAAAACTGTATGTCTGCTTGTGAATGGGATCATTCCCTTGTACCCAGGTGCAAATGGGACTGCTTTACACTTTGAAACCCCAGCAGTTCCCTCTGCAGTCAGAAATTTGGGATTCATTCAAAATCTGGCTTTGCTAAAAAGTCAATTCTCACAAATATGAGACCAGAGGAAATACCTTCAGACAAACCTCTGTGCTGCCTTTGACCCAGCAATCTCCATTAACAGCTGTAATTTGCAGGTTAAATAATACCAGCAGAACCCAAGATGGAATATTCTGTTTTGCACAGATGGAGGAAGATGCTGGCTTAGGTTCTGTGGGTTCCGCACCGCAGAAATCACTGCTCTGCGATGTGCTGTTTGTGGTTTTGCTTTGTGTATTGCAAAAGCTTTCTGCAGCAGTTTTAAACTTAAGGTTAAGCTTCAATGCCACCCTTCTGTAGAGAAAACCACAGTGCTTTGCTTTATAGCTACTCACCTGCGCTGTAAAAAGGAGCATGGCTGTTACTCCCTCATGGAACATACGGTACTGAAACTGCTGTGAGACTCAGGCACCAGGTTGACTACTCTGGCTCACTGAATGCTGTGTTATAGCCAAGGAAACGAGGATTTTGAGTTCTGGTTTACTGCTTGGCCTGACACAATCCCCATGTTGCATCCCAGGTGGTTGGGCCTCTTAATTCTAACCCACTGCCATCACTCACGATTCCAATGTGTCCCAGCATAGCTTCTGATATCCAGAGGGCACCAGATGTTGGCAATGCAAACATCACGCCCTGTGTTGAGCAGATGCAGTGATAACCTCCATGGGGAGCTCTTCTCCCCTGCAGTTTGCCCTCTGGAAGTGAGTGCTTTCTCCTACAAATGGTCCATAGGCAAGTAAAAACCCCTGCAGAAAGCTGGATGTGGATTGCAGTGTGTTCTGATCATGTAACAGACAGCTTGTTTGTACCTAATGCCCCTGGAGTCTGATAGGAACATGATTAGCACAGCCACTGACTGAATTTGCAGGCCCTGTTCCGTGAGCTGTTTATTACATGCTTGTGTACAAGTGTGTATTAATATCAATATTCATTGAAGTCATTTTCATCTGGAGGAGAGGGAAAAGCAAGCAGCCAAGTAACAGCAGGTTTGTATACAGATCTGTGGTACTAGAATGACTGTACAAACCATGGGGGGGCAGGAATTCCTGAGCTACCTCTGTGGCTGGAGAACACGATGTATTCTGTGACGTCCCACTGCAAGCAGGCTTATGTGACCTGTCTATACCCTGGAGCAGAGGAGGGGACCTGGGCACTGCGACCTGCTGCAGTTCTGCAGCACACAGGGAAAGGACGCTAAACCAAAACCTGCCCTAAGGAAGGCATTCCTTGTTTGGAAGGAATGTGGGGAGTCCTCTAGTTGCTCTCAGATGGTGTTTGGGATTTGTGTGCTTTGAGATGTTCTAGTGTTGATGCAGCAAATATTGGAAAGCAAAATGATTTACAGTCGAAGCTTTATTTTTACCTTTGATGTTGGTGTATGACTAACAAAAAGCTTTTATGGGAATTGAGTTGAGCCTAAGAATAATTTACATCCAAGGAGAAAACCAAATATTTCAAACCACCTCCTTTATCAGCTGAACTTCCGCCCCCAATCCAAGAACTCCTTGGTATGAGGGGCTAAGTAAGAGCAGAACTCATGGTACATTAACTGCTAGCTCCTGGAAGTCTCGTGTGTTCTCCTAGGCTTGGACTGGACAGTATGGCCAAACACACGGGTGAAGGATGATCATCATCTGGCTATAACACTCTTATGTTCTGGGAAAGGCTCAGTCTCACACCAAGTGACAGGTTTTCTATGGCATTTTCAGTTTTGGTTTTGTGCATGTGTTTGGTTTGGTTTTGGTACAAATGCTTTCCTATCTAAGGCTTAATCATCTCAAGCAGAATCCTTCTCCTGCCTTTACCCGCATTAAAACCCCTCAGAATACCTCAAATCAACAGAATACTATTCATGTCTATTAACTTGGTAGCTGCTGCTTCATGCAGACACAGTTTCCGAGCTCGTGCTAAGTGACCAGATCTCCTGCCTCATTTAACAGCACTCTAAAAAGAAATCTTTCTTACTTTTCTCCTGCCGTCCCTTAGCACAATAAGGCTGAAAATTAATCATATGCCTCAAGCATGATCCCAGTGAAACCCCGGAGCGCTGGGAGAAAGCCCCTCTGTGCAGTGGGGAAAGGATAATAGGAAGTGTCTGGCTCACAGTCTGCCTTGTAGAGTTTTATTCTTACATGCAGGCTGTTAGCTCATTGCTTGGGACTTCAGAGAAGGCGCCTTAAAACGCCATCAGGCAGATCAAATTGTCTTGGAGGATTTTGCAGGGGAGATGTAGAACTTCATTTGCAAAACTATTAGAGACAGTGCAGTGAGAAATCCTGCACTGACTGGAGCAGGCTGCACAGGAGCAAGACCTGACACTCGTAATGCTGACTTCTGGATCGGCTGCAGTGTTGCCTTGTTGGATTTGTCTCTCTGGGTTTACATGGCACCTCGTGCTCTTGCAGCCACATTCTCTGCCTTTACTGGGCTGCCCTGTAATGGGAGTGATGCTGATGTTTGGAAATGTCCAAGCTTTTTGTTCAGAGTAAAACCCAGCTGGAGCTTGATCTAGATCCAGTTGCACTTCATGAGAGGCCTCCCTTTGGCTATGATGGGGTTTGGAATGAACCTATGAAGTTGCATTTGGTCTACTCCTATATTGCCATTTGCAGCTACTGCAATATTAATTGCTGGAGTGACTGGTTTTATCCCAATGGCACCATGAGGTACTAATGGCCTTATGGCATATTTGCAAGAGATATAATACCAAATGAACTCATCTATTGGATTTCAGTTACTACTGATTGGGCATGTAAAACCCCAAAGTTCTTTTTCCCAGACTGGCATGAGAGAACTCAACTTTCCCATTGATTTATTTAGTAAAAGGCAACTTGTCACCTAAAAAATTCCTTCTGTGTAGAGTGCATTTTAAGTAATTCATCAATAATCTCATTAGAGCAGCAAGAAGATAGAAGAGCGGGGTAATGATTAACATTCAGAGGGTCTAACGGGATGTTTGAGCCTGTAATAAAACAACAGGAGGCTGTGAATTCAGTAGCCTGGTAATGTGACCTCTAGTAAATCACTGCAGCTTTCTATACCTCGGTTCCCCATTTATGGAATGCAATTAGTTCTTTCTTCTTTGCCTCCTTCATTAAGTAGGTGGTAGCTGCTTCAGAGCAGGAGCTGTCCCATATGCTCTGAATATACCCAACACCCAGCAGTGCCCCCTAAGTGCTACTGCATTAATAATGTTAATATTACAAGGCAGTGGTACAGAAATGTGGGGTAAACACAGCCTGTATGTAGCTCCAGGCTTGTGCAGAGATCAGTACTCAGCATGGGCTGGATGAGTTGTGGAACATGCCTGGAGATAAGCATCTTTCCTATTTATTTTGCCAGGAATTAGATGGCAACAGATTGAGCCAGTGTTCAGTTGCTGAATTCACCTTTGGGAGGAGCTGCCCTTGCTGCCAGTCCTTGCAGTGCTCTCTCTGCACCCTGATAGATTCTGGAGCCTCCACACACGCATCCCACGTTTCCAATGACACAGCTTCAGTTTATCCCCCTTTTCGTCTCCTGATGTCCCTTCAAAGCCTCATTTCCTAACAAGGAAACACTGGGAACGCTGAGACTTGTACTTGTAAAGCTCAAGTAAAGCCTTAAACAGGCAAACCAAGAAAAATACAAGATAGGAAATGACTTTTAAGTGGCCACTCTTTAGACTGGAAAAGACTCTGAATACAGAATTTCATCACTGTCTTCTTTGTCATGTGGCTTCTGTCGTCTTTGGGTACAGAAGGGGTTGTGTGTCACTCACCCTGATTAGCAGCTATTAGCTGTGACAGCACAATGTGCTGGTGTTTTTGTCTCTGTCAGTAGGGAGAACGCTGTCAAACAGAGGTCACTGCTTCGGAGTTCTGTTTTAGCAGCAGAGGTGGCTGGACACTGCTTAGCTCCCCAGCTGGAGACAGCAATAAATAAGGTGCTGAACAGCTCATCAGATGACTTGCTCTAAAAATAGCCTCTCGGCAGCATCTCTGATGATCCCATCTCTCCGTGCAATGTTCACAGCCCCAGAAATAGGGAATCGTAGGAAAAAAGCTGGTAGATCCTATGGAATAGGGACACAGGAAGGTGCTACAGCAGGAACAACTCTGTGGAGACAGTGAAATAGGTTTTTCAGAGGTTTCACTTTTTCAGCAGCCTTTTTAAGTGTTGACTTCTCATCCAGTATCAGGTGTGGACCTGAGGAGGGGCTTCTGTTCATAAATCACCATTAATGTCCAACTGTTGTCTCCATTGGTTCCTCCAGATGCAGAAGAGATAAGAGTGCAACTGAAACCTGATAAACCTGTATCCCAGCTCCTTCCTTACCAGTAAAAGGCCTGGCTTTGGGCAGAGCATCAGGTCCAGCACCCTCCTGTCTCTGGAGCTGGCTGGCGGGCGAGTGGTCATACCCTCAGATGACTTAGTTCAGGTCACAGAGGACATGGACATGGGGACAGCTAGCTCCTGGATCAGTCAGAAGGGTGCCGTGCTTTCTCTGGTGGCTGTGTTTAAGCAGTCAAGGGACATTTCCTGCCTAGTGGT